TTTCCAGACCCATATCACTGACCCATGTGTAGGAATCAGACGGACCAAAAATATTTAGCAACGCCTGATTTGAGCGATGCGTAAGCTCCACTGGCTGTATGCCTCTGACAAAAGTAGCACCACCGCATAACTAACGCCAAAGATCTCGCTCTCTACCATTCGGTCCGGTCAGCGAAGAATGCTGTTAGCCTCTGAAAGGTGATGCCTGAGTCCCTATTTTTTGCAGGACACATCCAAAAGTAACACTCACAATCACGAACTAGTAATGCCTCATTGGTGTGGTGGCCTTATCTTTGCACCTATGACATTCCATGATGATGGTGAACTTCTTTCTCACGAAACCTCACACAAGCCCTGATCTAATGTCTTTCTACTTAGATCCGATCTCTTGTCGAGATGAACTTGAGGCCTGGATATATTTTTTCGTCTATCTTGTCAAAGGCACCCTGCCATGGGAAAACGATCGTGCTGATGATGTGAAATGGACAAAGATCAAATCAATAAACTACGGTGAACTGTTCGAAGGGTTACCGAAACAGTGAGTTGGACAATTTTGAAAGGATTTTAACTGAATATTGTTCCGTATTTCAGATATAAAAAGATCCTTGACACTATCACGCGCGAAGGATCGACTGATCCAGTTTCGAACAACGAGTATGATCGTTTGGAAGAACTCACAAAAGAAATCATCTACAATGTTGGTAATATTAAAGACGAAGATGACAATTTCGATTTTGAGAGAGACCCAACAGAAGATGAAATACCAAGGTAAATATATCTTGAAGGAATGAACTACAAAGCTGTATTTTAAATTGGACAAGACTTGACCGAACTAAAGCGTAGGCGCTTACAGTGCAGCCTTAGCAGTAAAAGTAGTGATAGTTCTCTCCCGAGCACACCCATTTACTTAAAACTACTTGAGGTTGCGGTAGGTTCAAGCTGTACGTAGTGTCGTTGCATAAACCTCAAAAAAGTGAAATACACAGCTTGAAACGATATATAGTAACTATTCAAAGCAGGTTCGTTGTGGAACGAAATCCGAAGGCATATGGGTT